CCTCCGTTCTCGGAAACTTGGATCTCGATGAAGGTGTCGAGGCCTCCGTTCCTCGCTTTTCTTTCCTTCGTTCTTTCTTCTTCTCGAATTTTACAGGCGTCGTGAATCGTCCGATTTAACAATGTTTTAGGTTAGAATGTTTTTTAGAACGACACCGAGGTACAAGATTCCGAATAACGTATGATAATGTGTACGGGAATAATGGGAATTTATTAGTTAAGTTACGAAAGCCTAGGGTCCGTTATCTCGTTACATCCAACTTTTCTTCGCTCGAAACAAGCAAAAGATTCGAATTAATTATACAAGTTATATAACTCTAACCAATTCGGGCAAACAAATATACGATTTTAAATTTACGAATCGTTTCAATACAATCCAAAACGAAAAAAAATCGTATCCTCTACATACGATCATACATCGTAAGAAATGCACCGTATCAGATTCATCTCGTTTCCATTCTTTCCATTCCACAAAGAGAAGATCCGAAACAACTCTGAGGAGGGGTTGCACGTCTCCTCCGAAAGGGGTGTCGAGGTCACAATGGGAAGGTGGAGGAAGTCATCGAGCGGGGATCGTCGAAAAAAAGAAAAAAGAAAAACTCTCTCATAAAGGGATAAACGTCACACGGGACTCGAGTTTAATGGCGCGTAAACGTTCGACGTGCCCCTGGAAGGACGCGCGCGTGGAAGGGTCCCCCTCCTTCTTCCACGATCCCTTTCGTGATCGTTCCTCTCGCAGACCGGCTTCGACCGGTAAGCCGATATTTGGAGCAGGTCGATCGACTTCATTAACGGACGAGTGCCAGGCAAATATTGACTCTCCTCGTGGAAACTGGGGTACGAGGTGCGCGCGCGTGTGCACGCGAGCCTTTGTGCAACGTCCGCCGGGACCGACCAGCCCGTCGATGGCCAGATTATCGAGTCGTCCGCCTTTTCCTCTCCTCCGCTCGCTTCGGCCATTTTTGCATATCAATGCGCGGCGACACGACTCCTCCTGCTGTCGGTAGTCGCGTTATCTGATGCTTCGTGCACGTGATAAGCGTCTACCTATGCCGAGGCTCCCGGAATCCCCCTCCCCCTCCCCTCGCCATAGGAAGAAATTTCACGGAAGAGAGGAAGGGGGATCCATAAATCCCTTTACCAGAATCTGAATATATTAAAAAAATATATTAATAACGAGGAATATCTTGGACGCAGATGCAAAAAAGTTTAATGAAAATACATCTTGAAAACTGTGGAATGAAGTGAAATTCACAATGGAAGTGTTGCAAGATTTTAGGAAAAGGATATTTCTTTTCGTGATTAAGGAAGAGAAATAATCAGAGATGCATTTCTCGAGGAAATATTAAACGAGACACTTTAGGGCCGGTAAACGGGCAGCAAACGCCAGCCTTGGCCCGGATCACGCGAGCTCGTGGGATAGAATCGATATCGGGCCGTGCACGGTTGTCCAGATCCTTTGTAAAATCAATAGGCTCGGCTACTTAAATGGTACCGTTCGCTGGTTATAGTCACCGGTCGGTTACGGGCCACGGATACGGTTACGAGAAGGCTGAATCGATGCGCTCTGTGATTTACTGTTAATCGCGAGACCACTGTTAATCAACGTCGGGCTGCGTGCACTCGGGCTCCGATATTCCTCACGCGGTTGCTCATCGATGGAAAACAACACGTCCCGATATTGGCTCCGCGCCCCGCTTTTTACGCCGCTTAACCTTTCCTCCTTTTCTCGTCTCTCGAAACGGCGGATAAAAAGAGAGAGAGAGAGAGATATCGAAAGCTCACGCTCTCACGCGTCCCGTTCCTTCGACGTGTTTTCTCCCCGCCTTGGAAATGGAATTATGGAGGCTTGTATTTCGATTTCGTTGCCTCCAAGCGTTAGGGATCAAGCGGTGCAAATGTCAGAGTTCGAAGACGAGTTGTCTTTTTTTTTTGGATTTGAGGAAGACGCTCGTGTTAAATAGATCCCCCCTTTTCGAGCGTATCTCCATCTCCTTCTCGAGGAGAGGATTCGAAAAGTGGATTCTTTTTTATTTTTTTCTTTTTTTTTTTTTTTTTTTTTTTTTTTTTCTATATAATATAAGGAAGATTGATGAAGAGAGATCTTCTCAAGCTTAATGAAATCTACGTAATATGGTTTTAGAGGAACGAGGAGGATAAGCCTCGTTAAACCGTGCAACCTTTAGATGACATAATATATTGCAGCTTTTAGCGCGGCGATCGTCAGGTGCATCGTATTTTATATCATCAAGGTATAATATAAATAATCTCTTACATAACCGTTCCGCTGCTCGCCTCTTATTCTTGACGCATCATCCCGGCAGCGAGATGTTATGTCTCGTGGTAATAAAACGTGGTGATAATTCTTTTTCTTTCGAAAGAAGAGGATTAACCGATTTTGATATTGCAAAGAAAGAAAATAATAATAAAAAATGAAAATAAAAAATCTTACGATCTCATAAGGAAATCCTCTATCTCCATCCAAGGCGTTATTATATTCCAAGGCAACGACTTCCGGTAAAATGGTTCTTCTTCGAAAGAGAAGATATGGCGAATAGGTCATTGTCGTGGTGAAAAGAGAA